AAAGATATATATATATATACACATACATATATATATATATATATATATATATATATATATTATTTCAGGAATGGAGAGGGAGAGACAGAAACATCAATGATGAGAGAGAATCATTGATCAGCTGCTTCCTGCATGCCCTCACTGAGGATTGAGCCCATATCCCTGGCATATGCCCTGACCAGAATCAACCTCCTGGTTCATAGGTAGACACTCAATCACTGAGTCACACTGGCGGGGCCAGAGTCCATGCTTTTAATCATGCCATTTTGTTGCCTATTATGGGATTCATTCGGTTTCTATATTCAGGGACTTTTTAATCATTTATGTTCATTCCTAGGCAATTCAGAATGACTCCCTTTAAAGGAATAAGCTTTATAGACCTCAGAAAAAGACTGTATTCTCCTTGTGTATTGGTTTTCCTGTTTGGTAGGACATTCTGATAGGCCACACAGACAGTTACACAGAGGCCTTTGAATGGTGGTACCAGAATTTCATAGAGGTTGCTTACATGTCTTGGGTGCCAGAAATACTCTCCCCTCACCTCCATGCATATGTATATATATAATTTATACACCCATATAGGCATTTATTTGCAGGGTGGTCTCTGCTCTCTACTTGCTGGGGCATCCCACAGTGATCCTGGCACCGAGTAGGGGCTCTGGCCACCTAATGAACCAGACCTGTGCTCCTGTGCTGCATGGAGCTGCAGGTATCCTAACACCTTCACCTAATGCCTCACCAACCTCAGGGCAAGGAAATGCTAGTGTTATACCCAGAGTCCCCAGTCTGAGTGGGCCAAAGGCCCTTAGAGAGATAGCAGATCCTGTATGTCCTGGTGACCTTGGAATCAGGACACACCATGGACCCACAGTGCCAAGAGGGGCTCCCAGGTGACCTGATATAGCCCTGACCCTCTGCAGATTAGGGCTGCCTAACCTGGCCAGACACTTCTAAATCCTACCTTGCAGAATGGGGGCCACCTGTCCAGCAGGGAGATGACCTGACCACCTTGGATGTCAAGCCTGCCTTCCCTCTCATTCTCTCCAGCACACCTGGTTTGTCCTTCTTTATGTCCCCACTCCCAGAGAAACGAGACTCAGCCACCTGCTGCATCTTCTGATTTGGGTATCCACAGAGGGTTGCCTCCTGGGGCTGCTGTTAGGAGAGAGACAGATGACCTCAGCCACCCAAGGCTGACCAGGTCTTGGGGGCGGAGGTACAGATTCTTATTGAACAGTTTCCCAGGCTGGAGAGTATTCTGTCCCAGGGAGGGGCTGCTGAGTGGGGCTGAGGGCCTGGAGGGATAAGAGTGGGGGAGAATGAGCATGATTCTAAGCAGAAAGAATGATCAGCAAAGAACAGAAAGAAGGCTGGTGACCCAGGGCTCGGAGAGTGGGGGAGTGGGGTTTACTGGGGATGGAGATAGTGATAGGGAACACCTGTGCAAAGCCTTTGTAGGCACATTAAAGATATTAGAATTTGTCCTAAGAGAAATGAAGAAACACTGAAGGGCTTTAAGGAGGGGGTCAACTGTTTCCATTTCCTTTCCAACCATTTCCTCTTTTTAAAACTCCTGGCATTTTCTTCAACTACACTCATAATACCAGTTACTCAGAGGCTACATATGACCTTCCTACTGCCCAGTCCACTCCTTTTTACCTTCATCTTTGTTGTTCTTGATCTCACCCTGTGCCATTGGACCCCTTTCGCCATTCCTCCTTGAATCCTCTTGTTTACACTTACTGTGATAGGCTTTTCCTTTTCTCCCATTGTTCCTTGTTATTCCTCTGTACCCTGTGGACCCCAGACTAAGTGCTTTGCTTCACACTCTGAGAACTCATTACTTTTTCTGACTCCAGTTCTTACTGCTGTTTCCTTCTTGGCCCTGTCCTCTCTCTTTAGGTCCATATCTGAAGCCCTAAATGCCTAGTGAACATCACCACTTAGATGTCTCACCATCATTCCACACTTATGTCTAATATCAAATTCATCAACTCCCTCCTAAACTCGTCTCACTTCAACCTTTTTATACATTGGTTTCGTAGTCATTCAACTTCAAAATCTTGTTTTCACCCACATCCCTCATCCCAGTCTAACCATGCCCAGTCCCAAAGTTCTAAGGATAT